AACAGAGGAGATGGTCAGTTAAAGTTTTGACTTTTGTTTTATTGTGAATAGACACCTGAAAACAGCCTATCAGAACATTTCAAGTCCTTCTTCCCATGAGTGTTTTACACAGTCCATATTGTCCAGCTGACTAAAATGTTTCCCAGCGAGTCTTAAGATGAGGAAGGACCACAGATGGGCTGTTCTTGCTCAGAGTTTATCCTTATCTGAGACCTTGATTCCCCCCTCAACCTTAACCTTCTCCCCTTAGGGGAGCAGATGCTGAGGCCCCAGAAGTATTCCTGCTGTCCATTTCCTGGAGAAGGCCCCTCCTCTTCGCAGGCAGCTGGTGGGGAGCCTGCTAAGGCAGCCCTTGGTGCATAGCTGCAGCTGTTCCATCTGCATGTTATAGACAGCCCCAGGGAGAGGAAGGGGCAGTTGTAATCTGAGTTATGAGTTATGGATTATTCCCAGCCAGAGGGGCAAGATGATTGACTACTTGAAGAAAAGCTACCCTTGAAGTCATCTGTTTCTTTCATTGGCTTTGGTTTCAGCTTCTTAACTTTTCTCAATATCTGAGCAGGGGTCATCTTACCAAATCAAATTTTCATTTGCTTGATATTTTTCCACCGTTAATTTGACTCAGTAACTATTTCTCAGTTTATTTATAGTTTATTTGAAGGTCGAATGCATTTTTTAAAACAGTGGGTGGAGGGAATAAACAGGATGAGAAATGAAGTACGGGAGGTAAGGGGTAAATGTGAGGAAAGGGAGAAGAAAAGCACCCAGTGGTCCCAGCCTCCCATGCGAGTGCTGGTCTGACACATGAAAGCTTCCAGAGTAACAGAAACAGGGCAGGAAGAATGCTGGAGTCTAGCCACATCCAGGTTAACTGCTGTCGCTCTTTCTCTGCTTTCTCAACCCCAGGCATGTTTAGGCAGGGATGCACTGCCTTCAGGGTCATCACCCCCAACATTGACGAGGAGGCCTCCATGATGGAAGACGTCGGAATGCAGGATGTCCATTTCAATGAGGTGAGTGCTGCGGCTCCAGTGGGGGAGCCAGTATAATCATGCACCACCCAACAATGACCTCAGTCAGCAGACAGACTCCATGTGCAGCGATGGTCCTGTAAGCTTATTATACCTAGTGACATCATAGCCATCTTAGCACTGACTGCGATGTTCATGGTGGTGAGAGCCCTAGCCATGCACTTCTCAGGACACTCCCCATTAGTTGAGTGATGGGTGACTATACTTGGGTACCTGGAGCCTGCTAATCCCCTGCCAGTGCATCACCCCCAGCTCTCCTCCCACAGCTGCTGCCTGCACACCAAGCCCTAACTGAGGTGATTCTCCCAGGCAGCTGAACAGCGACCACTGCTCTGTTGTCCCTTCCGTGAAATGCCTCCTCCTCTCTGGAGGCTTGAGGTCTGGTTCATAGTGAAGTGGGGCTGAGCGCTGGAGCACTTCTCCCAGAGGCCCAGTGTGTTGGTCACAAAGTTTCTCAGTCTTTCCTGTGTCACATGAAGTTTATTACTATTTCAATTATTGTATATACCTGTAGACATTTTCTTCAGGCCCAGACACTCAAAACCATGAGACACCAAGTAGGGACCAGTTCCTGTCTCTACTTGGGTGCTATAGCCCAGGTTCCGAGGATTGATAGGAAACAGGACCACTCTCTCCCAACCCCATGCAGACCAGAAGGTTTGACATTATAAAAGTAGCAATTCTGAAGCTTCTTGCCAAAACAGAATAGCATATCCATGTAACCACTTATCTATAACCAGAGAGCTCTGAAATAAAGCTAGGAATTTTCCTAAGAGCTGATTTTCTGCTTGCATTCACTGAATTCTCCTTTCCAGGCATATCTGCCTCTCCCCACCCAGGGAAGAATGAAACATTCAGGGGAAAGCTTTTAATCCTGCCCATCTTTCCAGGCAAAATAAAGTTTTCCAGTTCTTCACGTGGCAAGAAAGAACCAATGGAGAAAGGAGTACTTACCTTGCCTGTGTTTTTCATGTTCTTTCTTGACATGGGGTCCACAGTGTGGCAGTGCACAGTTAATACTACAGCTTTTAACCATTTTCATGCCAGTAAGGAGGGCCCCTGAGCAAACCTCTCCCATGACATGAGCTAGTCCAAAAGTCACTTGGTTATCAAAGGTAGTCCTGGAACCCTTTCAGTCTTTGAGGCCCTTACTTTTCCAACTCAGTGTGAGGCTGGATTTTCTTTGTTGACATCAACCCAAGCTATACATTAGACAATTGAATGTAGAAGGCTTGAGACTCCAGGTTTCTCCTACAAAGTCAAATATCAAAGAGATTTGTAAAAAATATAAAACAAGGATACTACTTTTCTTTTTTAAAATACCTTTTTATGTTCACAGTGCTATTTTTGTTAATATATTCTAGTTTATAGTTTTCATCTGTACACTTTACACCTTTTCAGTTTTGGTTCTACTGTTGTAAAATTTGAAAGAAAAAATCAACATAAACAAAAAATTATTTGAAGTTCTCAGTAAATTTGAGATATATAAAGAGCTCTTAAGCTCAAAAAGTATAAGAACCACTGTTGTAAATTGTCTAGTCTTAATCCTCAAAATTAAAAACTATATATGGAAAAAAAGTATAATATATTGAGTGTACTTCATGAAGTGCTACTAGGGATTGAAATAAATGCATAAATAATAGGTGGTACTAGGGATTGAACCCAGGGACACTCTGCCACTAAGCTACATCCCAACCTTTTTTTTTTTTTTTTTAATTTGAGACAGGGTCTCACTAAGTTGCCCAATAGCCTTGAGTTTATTCTCCTCTTGCCTCAACCTCCCAAGTAGCTGGGATTATAGGCATGTGCCACCATGCCTGGCTACTTCATGAAGTTTAAAGAAACTACAAGAGATAGATACAATATACAAAGTTCTCTGATTATCCTGGGGAAGGTGATTAAGTTGGTTATTGCATGGCATTAACCATTCCACTGTCTCCATCCTGAAATGCCCAGACATATGGTGATTTTTTTCACTTATTTTACTTTTTACTCTCAAGTGTGAAACCTTTCACCAAAGGAACAGGCTCTTGTGTTCTTGGCTTGAGCACCTCATTTCAAGGCAAATTTTGACTGAATTTTTCTTTGAAATTGGCATGACTGTATTGTCTTCTTGGAGAAATCACCCTTGCACCCAGTGCCAAGTCAGACCTCTCAAGTTCAGCATTTTATTTTGAATTAGATAAGGAGAGCAGTTATGCCAAGAACAATCACAAATTTGAAGGTAAACAGTTTCTGTAAACTATCCTTGAGAGACAATAAAGTGAGCCCTGTATGTGCTCACCTGACTAATGGGTTGAAGTAATCATAAGAGTCTAATGGGAAGATTTATGAATGGCACCCTGTCTGAGTAAGAGCTAAACATGTGACAGGGACCACTTTATCAGCTGTTTCAGAATATGAATTTGCCACCCTGTCCTTGAAGCATAAAGATGGTAAACCTTTAACAAGGTCCATAGTACATGACAATCTGTATAGTTAGGATATGACATAGCAGGGTTATAAAGTCATCAAAATTGAAACTGACAGGAAGGGGAAAGAAGAATGTGTTCTAAAAGATGAAAAAACAGATTACCAGGTACATGTTCATTATTGGCTACTTAGATACTCAGAAAAAGAGCAAGGACAAAGTCCTCTGCCAGGAGAACAAAGTTTTGAGAAAAGCTAATAAAATGAGTGTCTAACATAATGTAAAAAAAAAAAAAAATCATTGCCTTTTTAATCTGCATTAGTGAGTATAATTAAATGTCTCTGATGCTCTCCTAAAGAAATGTTGTTGCTTTTTTTGTTGTTATTTTAAGAGAGAGAGAATTTTTAAATATTTATTTTTTAGTTTTCAGAGGGCACATCTTTATATTTTATTTTTATGTGGTGCTGAGGATCAAACCCAGCGCCCAGCGCATGACAGGCAAGCACGCTACCACTGGAGCCACATCCTCAGCCCCCTAAAGTAATGTTTTTAGGGGAGATACCTAAAACTGCACCGTCGTCTTAGTAGCAGGCCTCAGATGAGTTTTTATTAGTACCAAGTCTACCTTCCCTGACTCTGATCCCAAGAGTGGACTCCCTCCCATATGCTTTTGGTTAGATAAAGAGAAACATCCAGTTCTTCCCCCACCCTTATTTATTTATTTATTTTTCATTCTACAATAGGATGCATTTTGACACATTGTACACAAATGGAACACAACTTCTCATTCCTCTGGTTGTACAGAGTCACTGGTGGAGCAGAGTCACTGCAATAGTGTAATCATGTAATCATACATGTATATAGGATAATAATGTCCGTCTCATTCTACCGTCCTTCTCATCCCCACAGCCCCCCCACTCTCCTCTGCACAAACTAATGTTCCTTCATTCTTCCCTACCCCGATGGCCCCACCCGCTTATGGATCAGCATCCGCTTATGGATCAGCATCCGCTTGTCAGAGAGAACATTCAACTTTTGGTTTTGGGGATTGGCTTATTTCACTTAGCATGATATTCTCTAGTTCAATCCATTTACCTGAAAATGCCATAATTTCATTCTTCTTTAAGGCTGAGTGATATTCCATTGTGTATATATACCACATTTTCTTATCCATTCATCTGTTGAAGAGCACCTAGATTGGTTCCATAGTTTGGCTATTGTGAATTGAGCTGCTGTGAACATTAATGTCTGCATCACTATACTAGGCTGGTTTTAAGTCCTTTGGGTATAAACTGAGGAGTGGGATAGCTGGGTCAAATGGTGGATCCATTCCAAGTTTTCTAAGGTAAAACATCCAGGTTTTTTTTGTTGTTGTTGTTGGACACAATGCCTTTATTTTATTTATTTATTTATTTATTTATTTATTTATTTTTAAAGAGAGAATTTTTAATATTTATTTTTTAGTTCTCGGCGGACACATCTTTGTTGGTATGTGGTGCTGAGGATCGAACCCGGGCCGCACACATGCTAGGCGAGCGCGCTACCACTTGAGCCACATCCCCAGCCCAATATTTATTTATTTTAATGTGGTGCTGAGGATCGAACCCAGTGCCTCACACATGCTATGCGAGCACCCTACTGCTGATCCATAGCCACAGCCCCTCCAGTTCTTAATTACAGTTTTGTTTCACAGTCTGGACCTGTATAGATCAAAGGATTCTGAGTTCCCTGTGGTCCCAGAGTTCTACTTGGTCCATGCAGTTCTGAGATTCCTCTCTTCTTGTCTGATACAGCACCAGGATCCTAGTTGGAAAAAAGTGATGCAAGTGGTCCTCAACTGTATCTTGAGAAAGGATGTAATAGAAGTTACACTGTTCTACTATTTAGAGTTATACTATGAGAATAGCCATTAAGAATAATATAAGCCATTAAGCCATCGCCTAAGCCAGCTCACAGGTTTATAAATACTTGTAAATGGTAGATTCTGAGACAGCATCTAGCTTTATAGGTAAGGTTCAAATTGAATTAATCAATCCTAGGATGGAGCAAATAGCATTTAAGTTTTTTAAAAAAATTAAATACCCTGCACAGATATAGGTTCATAGGAGTATTTTTGTGCATGCGCACGCGCGCGCGCGCGCACACACACACACACACACACACACACATACACACACATCACTAGAAATGCTACTTCCACAGATAGATGTTTGTTTCTTCAGCTCCTTCACTAAGTCACACTTAATAAAAGGAACTAACTACATTTTTAAAAGTTTCTTCAATGGCTTATGAACTTCGTGCACTTAGATCTTTTTAAGTCTAGTCTAAAGTAAAATGCATACTTTCTGTATGCATAGAGTTTATTGAGCTCACCCTTCAACCAATTCTTTACATATGTCAACAAAAAAAAAATCTGGGTGTTTAAATGTTAAACATGGCAATTTAACCATAAAGCATTTTGTATGACTGCTGCTCAAGGTTATAGCTTTCTAACCATTTTCTGGATCAGTTCTGGCTTTCAGGTGCTGTGATTGCTAAGAAACAAAGCAAACTAAAATAAGTAGAACTTGTGCTGAGAATATAATTCATATATACTCCAATGTTTGGTTACTTTGTCTTGTTTTTATTATAATTTTGTATTGACATATGGTCTCTCAAATTCTGTGATTACTGTCTATTATTTCTATTCAGATAATTGTTACTTCATGCACCAGCTGTAAATTTCTAGATATAGAGTTGACAGTAGCTTGAATAATTTACCTTACCAAATTAAGCTTTGGCATTCAGTAATCTACACTCTGATTTTATGAGAGGACTGACCTTTTTCAGTAAAAACCATTTTTTAGTTTTTTATTAGAAAAATCTGTACTCACTTCATTTTTATAGTACATATTACCATTTCTTTGCATAATCAGTGATATTTGAATTGATAAATTATAAACCTTGAGTGCTTCCTGAATCAGAATTCTTGATACCATCAAGAATTGTGATATTTATTTCATAATATTTACTAAGCTCCATTTGCTTTATTGAATTTTCCCAACCATTTTGGTGAGTCTCTCTGGTTGAAGTCCATCTTTCTATATCAAATATAATATTACAGGTTTTTCTATAATGAGCTTATTTATCCTTATCACTTATACATCAGATATCAATGCTCATAAACTGCTTGACTACAGGTTTATTGTTATTAAACCTTCCACCTGTTTCTAGCTTAACTAAATAAGAGTAAAACTAAGTATTCAAATCTCATTTACAAATTAGGATCATTTGACTCAGGAGACTACCAATACTCTCTTCTTGATATATATTTATGAAGTGACAGAATATAGGGCTATTTAAAATGTATCTGATAACTTATGTGAATAGACAGACTCTTTTGAGAATCAAGTAACGTCTTCCTTATATAACCCTTCATTGTTATAATAGTTAGTAATTGTATCTTTGCATTGAAAACTTTGTTCCAGTTTATTGTGTCTACTCCTTCCCCCCTTCCCAGCCTCTTCTCTTGACACACTCTGATTCAGATTTTATTCTCCAACCCACAAACTACTTGTCACTCCCTTGCGTTTGCCTGGGCAGTTCCCTGGACCTGGATGGAGTGTGTCCCCTCTTTTTCTTCTATCCCCACTCCCACTTTCTTCCTCTGCTCACTAAACTCTCCTGTCTTTTAAGACTCGGTCATCATTTCTCTAGCTTTCCATGCTTCCCCTTTCCCTCATTTCTGGACAAATACTGATGCCCTGCAGTTTCTTTATCAGTGCACTTACTACCATCCTTGTAATCTCTTTATGGCTCCATCTTCCACACTGGACTCTGGATGCTGGGAAAGCAGGAAGTGCTGAGCTCTGTGAGAGAAGGATATTTGGCCTCCTTAGTACCCAGAGACCCACTGACTATTATTAAATCCATCCGTCCCTGCTGCAGTCATTTCAGAGTCTATGCCCTGTGACTTGTAGCTCAGGTTCACATTTGAAATCACTGTTTTCCTCTCTTTGATGTCTTACATGCATGTCACATCCTTCCCATTGCTCATGCATCTCTAGTACATCTGTTCTGGCTGCTCTGAAAGGATGACTGTGAGTGTTTTCAAAGGCTTCTTTTCTAAACAAATTTCTATTTTGTTTAGAATAGACCTTCCAAAATATGCTGTAACAATTGATAAAAATCTATCAAGCAATTTTTATAAATTACACAGACTTAATTTTACTTATGGATTTAGTTTTAAAGGTTAACCCAATAGTCAAGCATGGTGCCTTGCACATTGTAAATGCTTGGTAAAATGTTTGAACAAACATTCAAATAAATGAATGAATGAATCAGTGTTGTGATACTAATGGTACATAGTTATAACTTTTATAACTGAGAAGAATTTTCAGTTTTTTATGAAATTGCATTTAAATCACTCCACTTTCTGCTATGGCATAGAATTAAGAATCTTTAGGGCTTTTTGATCCCATCGTCAGTAAATAGGATGTGATCATTGAACATTTGTTTATATTTACAGTGTGACCTTGCCATGCCAGGATCAGTTGTAATTTTTCACACATACACACACAAATTGTATTCCTCTTTGAAAAAGCCCAATATAACAGAAGGGACCAGATGATTAGTGTATAAGTTAAACCTAAGAATAATTTTTTTTCTTATAAAAAATTTTTTTAGCCTCAAGACAATGAATTTTATTGCCTTTAGTCTACCAGGTTTGACAATATAAATATACTCATTGAGGAAAAAAAATATTTGAATAAGAATTAAGTTCATGAAAGTTTACAAAACATAGCTAGTACCCTAATTTATAATCTTATCTTAAATATCTCTACTTTTATAGCGTGGTCAGACATCTTAAAATATATTCACACTATTTTAATTTTAAGATATAAACAGTAGCAATTTACTAAGTTCTCCATTACAGCAATTCTCAAAATACTTAAAAAATTGTTTTATGAAAGTCAGACCCACATCACAACTTTTTTCTTTTAGATATATCTTCAAAAGGCACATTTTGATTACTCGTGTTTGCCTAAAGATAGTACTTTGAGTTTTGATTTTTCCATTTGTCTCAAAACTGAGCAAATGGAAGCTTGTAGCAGCAGATAAAAGGCCACAGGTTTCCAGTTGGGTCCTTGAAGGCAGCAGTATGCTCATTCATCACACCGTGAACATCAAGAAAACAATTCAAGAAAGAGACTACAGATGTGTCCTAAATCCTAAAATAACCACCTGGATATGCTTTTTATACAAAATAAATCATTTTTTTAAAAAAATCATGAAACAATAAACGTAAAAAACCAAGACCACCAATTTCCCTCCACTAGCTTTGAGACTTAAGAAGAAATTAAATTTTTCTTCTCTGGAATCACATTTTTATATTAGGCTCATTTCAATTTAAATCACTTGGTGACTTAATAGTGTTACAAAGTCCAAGAATGTAAGACATACTGATATTCAAGATAAAATATAAAAATAAACTTAAATATCAAATATAAATGATTTGTGGTTCTCATGTTTCCCTCTAATTTGGGCTAATAGTCTAAAACTGACTCTAATTATAATAGCATCTATAATTTCAAGCACCATTATTATTTTTAAGAACTCCAAAATGCAAGATATTTGTTGATTTTGAATACAATAACATTTTCTATATTTTTTTAAACATTGAGAAAAATGTTCAAGTTAACTCTTCTTACATTGCATTACAAAAGCCTTTGAAGGTTTGTTAGTTTGAAACTACTCTTGTGAACTTTAACAGAGTAGCAGTAAAAAAATAGATAAGAATAAAACAACACTGCCTTAATTTTAAAAGCTGCTATTTTAGAACTTGTATAAATGCCACTAAAATGATCATTATTGGGGACCTACAAATTAAATATTTTGTTGAAGTGACAGATGACCGTTTTCTTTTTTGTACCTTAGAATTTTTTTTTTTGGTGTGGGGGGGGGGGCGGGGGGGTACCAGGAATTGAACGTAGGGGCACTTAAACACTAAGTCACATTTCCAACCCTTTTTTATTTTGAGGCAGGGTCTTGCTAAGTTGTTTATGACCTCATTAAACTGGCTTTGAACTTGTGATCCTCCTGCCTCAGCCTCCCTAGCCACTGGGATTACAGGCTTGTGCTCCTGTGCCTGGCACCTTAGAATATTTTCAATAAATTATTCTGTTTTAGTAAGGAAAAAACATCTAAAGACACACCCCCCCTTTAAAAAACAAATGGATACACTCAAATGAGACTTGAGGGGAATAATATAAATTTAAGATAGATCTCTAGTATTTTGAAATTTCACAGTAACCTTAAAAATTCTCTTTTGTTCTTACATGGGATCAAGTGATTAATCAATCAGTACTTCAAAGTACCGGTCTTGTTCATTTTAGTACTTTAATAAGTATTGAAGTCACTGAAAAAGAATAGTTTTAAAGTAAGAAAAAATTCTATAACCTTGATTGTTTTGTTATCAGAATACCTTGATTGTGCAATTCTCATCCCTGGGATGAGATTGAGTTTTCTGAGTTCTTCCACCTCTGCTGCAATTCTGTACCACCACTGGGAATGAAAGTGCTCAATTAATAGCCACCAGCAGTATGTTTGAACAAATATATGCAAGAAATAAAGTACTCTGTAATAAAGGACATCTTATTCAACTCATTTCCCTATAGCCAAGGACAGTTATTTCTATCTAGCAATATGGCTAATATTACTAAGAAAAATAGAAACAAGTCAGAAATATGTAACTACCCAAATGTATGTGGCCCTGTGGGATATTATATAACCCAGTAGAAATAAGATAATTTAAAAAATTAAAACACACTAGAAAGCAATGATTAAAATAAGAGAGGTTTCTTTATTTGACCTATTAATTACCTTAGAAAATTTACTATTTATCAGAGCATTTCAATAGTTAAATTTTTATTGGTCTTTATAAATACTAATAAAGGTAATACCTATATATATTTCATACATTTAACAAATGTGGAGAAGTAAGAATACTATCACTGAAATTATACAAGTATACTCATATGTTTTTCTTTTTCAATTAATTTTTTACTTATATATGACAGCAGAATGCATTACAATTTTCTTCATAGGTTTTTCTTTTATCTAACTTTTATAAGCAAGAGCATAAAAAGAATACACAATTTGAGCTGGGGTTGTGGTTCAGTGGTAGAGCACTTGTCTAGCATGTCTGAGGCACTGGGTTCAATTTTCAGCACCACATATACATAAATAAAATAAAGGTCCATTGACAAGAACAACAACAAAAAAAGAACACAGAATTTGTCATACTTAGTGTGCATAGGTTGTCTATTGAAAAAGATTTGAGACAAAAGTAAGAAAGGCATGCCTCTCCATAATACAAAAGCAAAGGACAAAAAGATAACATTAGAAACTTCTCTGATTTCTTCTTTTTCTATAGCTGTGGTAGTGGTCACTATATCTGACTTTAATGAGATCTATAATAAAAGCCTGAAGCAAATGGCATATCTTTTATAAGCATTGGTGTCAAGTCAGTCACACAGATGACAATTTTATTATTTGTTTATTACAAATAGGACAGGAGTTAGATGATCTTGCTTAGATAGTATTTTCCAGTAAGTTGATTCACAACTGCTTTAAAAATGCTTATTTTATTTGGTTCTATAAACCATTAATGAAACATTAGACCACTTATGGAAAACATAGAGCTTACTTTTCATTTACAATATTACAGAGGATATAAGCATACTTTAAAAAATTATATATATATATATATATATCCCTTAACAAAATATTAGCAAATTTAATCTATCAAAATATAAAAAAGAGAAATGCATTATGACTAAGTGGGGTTTATTCCACGAAGAATGGTAGGTTTGAAATTGGAAAAATCAATCAAGGTTACTCATCATATCCATGGAATAAATTCATAAAAACCATTTGACATCTCAATAGATGCAGAAAAAGCATTTGACAAAATTTAATATTTATTCAAGATTTTTAAAAAAAACTAGAACTAGAAAAGAACTTCTCTAATTATCTAGGGAAAAAATATATTTGGTTATGAGAGACAGAAATTCCCCCTAAATTTCAAAACAAAACAAGAATATCTCTTTTCACCACTGGTATTCAACATCATGCTGAACATTCACATGAGAAAAAGAATTTACGAAAGAGGCTACTTACACTGATAAATCAGATTAGCAGAATCATAGGAGGTAAGATTAGTATACATTAATCAATTAACCTTCACATTTAGAGATATTTATGTCATGGTTTTACTATATTATTAAATTATTTTATATAATCTCTAGAAGACTCAATATTGTTAAAAGGTCAGTTCTTCCTAAATTTATTTATAGATTCAAAGCAGTGCCAAATTCCCATTAGGAGTTTGGGTGGAAATTGACAATTGACTCTAAAGTCCATATAAAAACAAAAGGAACTAGAATATCTAAAACAATTTTGAAAAGATGGGAAGATTTATGCTAACCAGCTTCAAGATTACTATAGAGCAGTGGTTCTCAACTGGGGACAGTTTTGCACACACAGCCTCTTCTACCCCCAGCGTACATTTGACAGTGTCTGGAAACATTTTTTATTGTCATGACTTTGGGGAAAGGGGAGATGCTACTGCTGCTGGCATCTAGTAGGCAGAAGCCAAGAATGCTGATAACAATATCTTACAATGCACAAGAGAGCCCCTGCAACAGACACTTGACCAAGGTGTCAGCAGTGTCACTGGAGAAACTTTCTTATAAAGCCATAGCAGTAATCAAAACAGCATTATATTGACAAAGGGGTATCAGTGGAACAAAACGTGAACCCTAGAAATGGACCCACATGCATAGTCAGTGGATTTTTGACAAAAATTCAAAGGTAATTCAATGGAGAAAGGATAAAAGGATAGACTTTCATCAAATGGGGTTGGAACATTGGGCATACATATATGGGAAAAAAGAAAAAGAACTTCACACTT